TTTTCTGCTCTGTTGTCAACATGTACAGTAATGAGAAATCCAGACTGTAAAATATTAATAACAATTGCGTTAATATTATTATTAATAGTTTTAATGGTTTCTACATGGTCAGTCCTTTTTTCTGCTCTGTTGTCAACATGTACAGTAATGGGAAATCCAGACTCTTGATTGTTTTTGCGTTAGCCGTTAGCTTCACCAGCTGATCACACGGTCACATGGTTTCTGCGCACTTCAGCTGTTCTATATAAACTCCTTGGTTCAAAATTAGCCGGTAGCTGATTAACAGTTAAAATTGTCACATAAAATCTCCCTTTTTTTCATGAATTTAAACTGAAACACCCCTTCAGAGAGAGAGCTCCTCAACGGAAAGTGTTTGAGTCCATAATTAAAGATAGCAGCCACTCCCCATAACTAAACAGTGAGTAAAACCTTATAATACCTTTAATAGTATTTCTGTACTATTTATTCCACATTTATTCAGTCGTACATGTAGTACTGTTCCACGTTTGAAAGAGGACATCTTAAAAGGCTGTTTATGCAGGAAATACCAGGCAGAGCTCAGTTATTGTTTGAGTGCTCAGTCACAGCAACGAGACGAGGAACATGTTTTGTGATTTTTCAAAGTTGAACACCAAATCTTGAAGTTAATAACAATTGGTCTTTGATTACGTGACCTTTATTCAAACTTAGTTTGACGCCCCAGATCTAAAGGACCTGTAACATTTGATTTTAGTCAACTTATTCCAACATATGGAATTCTTTGATGTCTAAATTACTAATAAAATTTATATATTTGATCAACTTGTTAGCATTACAATATGTACATGCCTAAAAGAGGCTTCCAGTTTATCTTTTTTATTGCATCTTCATTGTACATGTCTTCAAAATTTTCACAAGTTGTCTTAAACATTAGTGTGACAGGACCTTGAAGAAAAACAAGACACTGTTGTAGCAGCTAAATCCGATCACAAGTCGGCACAGGAGAATATGTGGAATATATTGACTGAGGCTGATGAGAAGAGTGGCTGCAGCTGTGACTCATGAAACCAGGAACAGGTGTGACTGAACTATTTATAGTGGGTATGTGTAGATTAGAAACAATCCTGCTCTTCACTTAATCAGTAAACAAATCTAATTTTATTGGTACAAAGACTTAATTCCTACCCAGATTTAATCCCAGCTGCTCCATCAATCAGAATGAAACAGTTAATCTGTCCATCCCAAATATGGACAGTTTTGATCTCCCTGAATGAATGTTTTCAAATGTTTATGACTCAGTTGGGTATGTACTAAAACTATTTTCCAGAAAAACAAATGTAATTATTATTATTATTATTATTATTATTATTATTATTATTATTATTATTAATTTAATCAGAGTGAGCATGTTGTCTTTCCTTGACATTCAAAACCCCACCTAGAGAGACCCTTCACCTCATCACATTCTCAACCAATCAGAGGCTCCGAGTCCACTGAGCCAGATTTAGCACAGCTATCACTGACGGCGAGAATGTTGACCTTGCAGGCAAGTCATGGAGGAAACAAGGTAAAAGTGCTCAAACAAGAAAAACATTTTTAAGTCAATACATCTTGGTCTGGAGACACAAATTAAAGAAACGCTTGATTTCAAAATTCCACTAATCATGTTTACAATGAAACATAGAAACAAAAACAAAACCAGAAGATGATTAATCATTCCAATTAACATAACCCTCCTTTTTGATCGTCTTCTACTGTAGCCGTGTTTCCATCCGATTTTAATTTGAACATTGAGCAAATTTTTAAAATTTGAAAAAAGGAAAAAAAAATGAAGAAATGCGAATCAGACGTGTTTCCATCAACTGGCTTGAAGCGAATCAATGACGTCAGACGCATGTGTGTGGTAAACAGGAAGTAAAAGTGGCAAACTCGCAGGGTCCACACATCTTGGGTTAATGGAGAGAAGTCATCAGGAACGTGTTGCTACTGTCAGGAAAGTTGTAATTATTCTGTCATATCTAGTTCTGTCGATGTTGCTGCTGTCTGGAGACGTAGAAAAAGAAACGCAATTCTCTTCACGTTACGGGAATAAGTGAAGACGCCGACAGCAGGAGGAGGGTCCTGATGTCAGTCGAAGCTACAGTCACTCTGGTACCGGCGCCTGTACCGTTTTTTATGTTCACTACGTCAGAACTTATTCAGCAGTGTTTCCATCTCTCCTTTTGCACATTAACTCTTTTTTCGAAAAACCCAAAAACCACCTCGAGTGTATCTTTTTTGCGAATTAGAGGAAGTTTTTTCGAATCCTGCCATTTCCAGTCACCCATAATTCAAAATGTGCATTAAAAAACATTGATGGAAACACGGTTCAGAGACCACCTCTGATTGCCTGTCGTTGCCTAAACGTTCATAAATTTTTACTACTCTTTACACCTTTTCTTCTGGTTCTGCTTCTTTTACCTTCATTTTAGTTTTTTCTGCTATTTAAGCTATCATTCTGCTTCTTTCCACTTTTTGTGCTTCTTTCTGTTTTTTTCTGCTAACGTACTGTTATATGCTTCTTTCAGTTGCTTTATATTTAGCTGTTTGCTGCAACTTTACCTATTGTTAAGCTGTTATTAGCTAATAGTTTTTTCAAGCTAATTTCACATTTTGGTGTCCATTTTAGCTTTGCTCTGCTTTTGTGCTCCTTCTGCTTCTTTGGTTTGATTTCAGCATTTTCAGCTACATTTTAGCAGTAGCTGAACTTTTGAACTTTTACTCATTCTGCTAAGATAACATTTTTTAAACACCTTTCCCCATCTTGGTGCTCATTTCAATGTGTGTCGGCTACTTTTAGCTTGTTTTTACGCTAATTTGAGATTTTTCTCTGCTGTTTCATTTATTATTCTGTTTCTTTTTGCATTTCATCTGCTAATTTGAGCATTTTATACTTTTTAAATTCCATTCTGCTATTTTCAGTAGCATTTTGGGTACTGTTTAGCTGTTTGTTTCTAAATTTAGCTCTTTCAAGCTAAATGCATACAATGTTGGCCTTTTAAGCATTTTTTCTGCATACTTCAGTAAACTCACTCTTTCTCCTCCTTATTTCTAATATCTGCATGTTCAGTTATTTCAACTGCACATTTTGGCTGTTTTAGCTATTTTAAAACAAATTGCATCTTTTTGGAAATCTTTTATTTTCTGCTGATTTGAAATGTTTTACACTCCTACAACTGTCTGCGTGTTAATTTCAACTTGTTTCTGCTACCTTTAGCCTTCTTTTGCTATTATCCATTCCAGGAATGATTATCTTGTCTTTTCACAAAATGAAGACGTTAACCCAGGTTCACATCCAAAAGTGAATAAAAACACTTTTTTTGTCTCTTTGTTCCCCGACACCTCACAGCCTCTCCTTTTTATCACTCCCCTTTTTCCTCCTTACTCTTATCATGTGACTTTAATTAGAACTGCTGTCAGCCGTCTGCTATTCAGCGACACCCACACCTCTGCACTCGAGGGCATCAAACTGAGAACGCTCAGGCAGAACCTCCAAACCGAGCTGTGCAGCGACAGCTCCTGAATTATTTCACACACTTTTTAAAATAAGTACTTGAAAGCAGGAGGTCTCAGATCTTGAATGTCGTGACAGGAAGCTGGTATTTAAACGTCTGTGTTTTAATGTAAACATGTGAAGACGTCAGACGGGACTCACCGATGCAGGCGTGCACTCGAACAGTCAACTGGGTCCGCAGGATGACACTGTGCTTCTTCCCTCTGGACCTGAGACAACAGAAAAGACAAACTGAAAC